GCGGCCTGTCTCAATTGTTTTAGCTAGAAGCATCTGCCGGAAAACTGGTGCCGTTAGCGAAAAAAATCTGCGGGGAGCTATGCAAAAAACGCATCTTCGCACCGGCAGTCAGTCCGCTGACCAATTATTTAAGTTCCATTTAAGATCGTTGCCCCAGTAGCAAAATCATCCTTTATATTAACGCAAATATCCATCGTTGCCTTTGGCCTTGTAACGACTCAGGACCTAACATTAGTCTTTTAACCGCTTTATATCGGACTGTAACCCAGAAAACAGGCTCTTATTATGTGATCTTTGATATTTTGAGGCACTGCTATGTGCTTGATACAGCCAGACAACTTGTTTTTCTGCACTTCCTACTGCCATCCGTACTAAAAAGCAAATTCCCATTGCATTTTCATCACAGCCCTGCTCCAATAGTTTGCTTGTTTTACAGTTGCATTGTTCTTATGCAGGATCAGTTTTGAGGCATTGTATGGTTTAAATCGCAGGCCTTTTTCATTCCTTTGCCAGCTGGTTAATTTTTTTCATATTTGTATTGTATCACAAATATCCGCATATTCGCACATATATATATATATATATATATTTGGAAGAGAAAGTTATGTAAAGGAAGGAAGGAAAAAAGGAAAAGTACATATGTGTGCATGAAAAAGTATATGTATATTTACATTTATATCAATGTATAAGTGCACGCATATATATGTGTATGTTTGATATGACAAATGTTTTAAATAAGTTGGAACAAATTTTCAGATCTTTGAATTCCTGGATAAATATATTATTGGACAGGAGCAAGCCAAGAAGACACTATCGGTTGGCGTTTATCAGCACTATCGGCGTCTTTATCACAATATCGAAAATAATGTTGGCACACCGGCAACAAACAACGTTGAAATGTATCGACCACGTTCGCCCATTCCACCCGGTGTTCTCTATCAAGACGATTACACAAGGCATGGACGAGCGGATATACGTTTCTTTGGTGAAGTACCACCACCAGCGCCACCAACACCACCGCCGCCGCCACCACCATCACAACAACAGCAGCAACAACAGCAGCAACGCATTATTACACCGATATTCCGGGCAATTCCGGATGAGGACACGCCGATACGTCTGGAGAAATCGAATATTCTGCTGCTTGGCCCATCCGGTGTTGGCAAAACGTTTATCACACAGACGCTGGCACGCATCCTTGATGTACCAATTGCACTTTGCGACTGTACTTCGATGACACAGGCCGGGTAAGTATTCCTTTTGAGGCTTAGAAGAGCAAAAGACGGTCTAGGTCCCGAAGAAAAGCTGAGCTGCGAAGAATGACCGATAGTGACCGACAAAGCGGATGGTCAGTACGGCGATAGGGTAAGGCAGAAGGATCTTGTTGATGATCGCCTGATGGATTTTTGAATGCGTTTAACTGAGAAATTCAGAACAGTCAGCCAACGCTAACATGTTTT